CCAATTTTGGTGTCTCTAACTCATTCCCTCTAGCGCCACCAACTGTCCAAAGTTTCACTTTTATTATGCTAATAACTTTTGAACCGTAAGGCCTATCAACAAAATTCTTTTTTCTTCTTGTTCCTGAGCTCATGCCGATTCGATCGCACCCTATGACGTCATTTTCCGTCATAAAAAAACGGCCGCCATTTTGAATTTTCCAAAAAACCTACTTTTGCGAACTCGTCCTAGACGGTTTGTCCGATTTTCACCAAAATCGCACCGGATCATCTCCAGGCAGTGCTGACAAAAAGTTATGGAATTCAAGATGATTCGAATAACCGTTTTCGATAAACGCGCAAACTAATTTTACGTAGCGCTTGCGAAAACAGACGTGAGGCTGTATCTCCGCAACGCTTAATCCTATTCAGACCAAACTTGGTACATGTTATCACAAGCATGACCTGAGGCTACATGCAGCGTTTCGGCGCAGCGCCACCTAGTGGTCCGGAGATATGAAAAATGGCTATTTTTGCTCGTAACTTCTGAACGGTTTGTCCAAAAATCATAAACTTCATCTCGTTAGATTCAGGGCATCATGCCGAGTCGACTGATATCCAATTTTCCCAGATCGGCCATTTTGGCTGTCGGCCATTTTGAATTATGTGCTAAAATGCTGTATTTTTTGAACGCATGAACGAATTGTTACGAAACTCGGTATGGGTCATCAGTACGATGCCCTGAAGGAGCCTGAGAAGTTTCGAAACAGCGCCACCTAGTGGTGAATTGTTTTATTCAAACGCTTATAACTTTGGGTGTGGTACACTTATTTTCACGGGAGTCAAATTTTTGAGGTCCTGAATCGTTGCCGAGTCCAACGATACCAAATATGTCGGGTTTCGTCTCACGGATGGCGTAGCGTAGCGATTTAGCGCGAAAAAAACACTTGGCGATATCTTCAAAACCGCTGTTCCGATCGAGACGAAACCACCGCCAGAAACACGGAATCATAGCTTGTTAACTAAACGCTAATGCCCAAATGCGAAAATATTGATAGTAAGGGGTAGTAAAATTCAAACAAAGTCATGTGTCAGTCATTTTTTACGTGTTTTTTCATATAAATGTTTATAACTCGGAAGCGAATTGAGATATTTTCACCAAAATTGACACACATATGTATGGGGTCACTCTGAGGACACATAAAAAAATTGTGGGACTGAGCCTCTTGGTGGCGCTATAATAGAACAAAACGTGAAATTCCCATTGACTTCAATACAGTTTTGTGAAATACAATGCTATACTAAACAAATGCATTGGTGTAATATTACAAAACTCAGTGTGTGCCATAAGCAGCATGCCCTGAAGGTACTCAAAAGATTTTGAGACAGCGCCACCTGTTGGTCAAAGTTATAATTAATTTCTGAGAACGCTAATAACTTTTGAATAAATTTGCCTATTGCAATGAAACTGATCTTAATAGATTCCTTGGTTATGCCGAAAACATAGATATCAGGTTTTGCATAATCAGCCAAACTTCCTGTCCGCCATCTTTATTTCTTTGAAAAACCTTCTTTTTCGAACTCCTCCTAGACCGTTTGTCCGATTTTCACGAAAATTGAATCGTATCATCTCCAGACCGTGCCGACTAAAAGTATGAATTGCATGATGATAGACAAAACCGTTTTCGTATACCACAGCATCGAAATTTAGGCATGCTGCCAAAATTACTATTTAGGCTTTATCTCTGCAATGCCTTCACATTTTGACACCAAACTTTGCATGTGTCATTGTCACCTCACTCTGACCACATCACATCTATTTCGTAACTGCGCCACCTATTGTTCGAAAGTGATAATCCATTAAATCATCTTATAAGTTAATGTTTATGTGATTTTCTTAGCCATTTGCCCAAAGTTCTCTCAAAATGCCCTTAATTGCTCCTTGCTGCAGTTGGTCTGCCACTCCTTGCCATTTTGGCATATGTTGCCGCTTCTTGCGCTTGGCCCCGGTAATGGCTGCTTGCAGCTATATTTATTATTATTCTTCTTCCGACTGGGCGTCTATGGCAGCCCATAGACCGGTTTGCGGGAAAGTTGTTTTGGTTTGACATTCTGATAGAGGACAGTCCCAACTTTAAATACACCAATTTTGGTGTCTCTAACTCATTCCCTCTAGCGCCACCAACTGTCCAAAGTTTCACTTTTATTATGCTAATAACTTTTGAACCGTAAGGCCTATCAACAAAATTCTTTTCCTCTTGTTCCTGAGCTCATGCCGATTCGATCGCACCCTATGACGTCATTTTCCGTCATAAAAAAACGGCCGCCATTTTGAATTTTCCAAAAAACCTACTTTTGCGAACTCGTCCTAGACGGTTTGTCCGATTTTCACCAAAATCGCACCGGATCATCTCCAGGCAGTGCTGACAAAAAGTTATGGAATTCAAGATGATTCGAATAACCGTTTTCGATAACGCGTAAACAAAATTTACGTAGCGCTTGCGAAAACAGACGTGAGGTTGTATCTCCGCAACGCTTACTCGTTTTCAGACCAAACTTGGTACGTGTTATCACAAGCATGACCTGAGGCTACGTGCTGCGTTTCGGCGCAGCGCCACCTAGTGGTCCGGAGATATGAAAAATGGCTATTTTTGCTCGTAACTTCTGAACGGTTTGTCCAAAAATCAAAAACTTGGTCTCGTTAGATTCAGGGCATCATGCTGAGTCGACCGATATCCAATTTTCCCAGATCGGCCATTTTGGCTGTCGGCCATTTTGAATTATGTGCTAAAATGCTGTATTTTTTGAACGCATGAACGAATTGTTACGAAACTCGGTATGGGTCATCAGTACGATGCCCTGAAGGAGCCTGAGAAGTTTCGAAACAGCGCCACCTAGTGGTGAATAGTTTTATTCAAACGCTTATAACTTTGGGTGTGGTACACTTATTTTCACGGGAGTCATATTTTTGAGGTCCTGAATCGTTGCCGAGTCCAACGATACCAAATATGTCGGGTTTCGTCTCACGGATGGCGTAGCGTAGCGATTTAGCGCGAAAAAAACACTTGGCGATATCTTCAAAACCGCTGTTCCGATCGAGACGAAACCACCGCCAGAAACACGGAATCATAGCTTGTTAACTAAACGCTAATGCCCAAATGCGAAAATATTGATAGTAAGGGGTAGTAAAATTCAAACAAAGTCATGTGTCAGTCATTTTTTACGTGTTTTTTCATATAAATGTTTATAACTCGGACGAAATTGAGATATTTGCACCAAAATTGACACACATATGTATGGGGTCACTCTGAGGACACATAAAAAAAATTGTGGGACTGAGCCTCTTGGTGGCGCTATAATAGAACAAAACGTGAAATTCCCATTGACTTCAATACAGTTTTGTGAAATACAAATGCTATACTAAACAAATGCATTGGTCTAATATTACGAAACTCAGTGTGTGCCATAAGCAGCATGCCCTGAAGGTACTCAAAAGATTTTGAGACAGCGCCACCTGTTGGTCAAAAGTTATAATTAATTTCTGAGAACGCTAATAACTTTTGAATAAATTTGCCTATTGCAATGAAACTGATCTTAATAGATTCCTTGGGTTATGCCGAAAACATAGATATCAGGTTTTGCCATAATCAGCCAAACTTCCTGTCCGCCATCTTTATTTCTTTGAAAAACCTTCTTTTTCGAACTCCTCCTAGACCGTTTGTCCGATTTTCACGAAAATTGAATCGTATCATCTCCAGACGGTGCCGACTAAAAGTTATGAATTGCACGATGATAGACAAAACCGTTTTCGTATACCACAGCATCAAAATTTGAGGCATGCTGCCAAAATGACTATTTAGGCTTTATCTCTGCAATGCCTTCACATTTTGACACCAAACTTTGCATGTGTCATTGTCACCTCACTCTGACCACATCACATCTATTTCGTAACTGCGCCACCTATTGTTCGAAAGTGATAACCATTAAATCATCTTATAAGTTAATGTTTATGTGATTTTCTTAGCCATTTGCCCAAAGTTCTCTCAAAATGCCCTTAATTGCTCCTTGCTGCAGTTGGTCTGCCACTCCTTGCCATTTTGGCATATGTTGCCGCTTTTGCGCTTGGCCCCGGTAATGGCTGCTTGCAGCTATATTT